GCAAAACCGATGCAAGTTCGCATCGGTCAAGCGAATCCGCCGGTTCCCGGGGGACCTCCACGCGATTTGTCCTCAGCGGATGTGCTCCTAAGTCTCATTCCCTCCATAATCGGAGTGCATGTACAAGGAAGAAGAACTCGGTTGGTGGTGAAAAGTTTTCTCTCCTTTTGTTACATCCAGTCGATCGCCTATGCGGTTCTCCTCTGCTACGATGAGCATGCGGACATCCCCAATCTGATAGCGAGCTGCATGTACATTTTGACAAGCTCACTATGGACCTGCATATATTTCTGGAGACTTCGAGCAGGCACGTTGAGGACGCACAGGATTCTAAACCACGGCCGGGCAATGGTCGCGCTCACGGCGGTCCTCTGCTCGATGGACTGCATGTGCTTCTGCGTGATGTACGCGGCTCCAAAACTGCTGCCGGTGCTCTCCCCGGACTCGGTCATCGATGAGTTTGCTGAAATTTTCTACTTCCTCCTGCAAGTGTCGACCTCTCTAATCCTGGTGGAGATAGCTTTCATACTCTCTTCCGAAGCAGACTGCCTCGGCGAGCTCCTCAACGGGGATCGTTCCGAAGCCTGGATATGCCGTACGACAACGTCGACGTGCGATCGTCTCAGCCGCACATTCGGCTTCCCTGTGAACATGCTGCACGGGGCGTACTTCCTCCTTTGGATAAGCCAAGTCCCTATAAGGGTCGCGTGCTTGCGGAACTGTAGCCTCTACAACGCGATAGATCATTCTCGCCAACTGTTGGAATTCCTGCTACTTGTTTGGAGCGGCAATAGACTCTCCAAGAATATTCGGACTTTACGTAAACATCTCAGGAAAACTCCGTCTTATTTTTCGAGTGATGTGAGCGAACCTCAGATATACATCAGAGGGGAACTTGGGCTGTCTTTTGCTTTCGGGGCTCATTTGAGTTTTAAGAGCTTCTATGCTTTCATCGGTATCACCACGGGATTCACGCTGATGGTCCTCCAAGCTGTGATCGAGTGGGGAAGTTGTTGATTCCCAGTCTCCTGCCCCCAAGGTCGAGGTGGGAGAGAGACTATCATTGCATTCAATCCGCTTCGTCTGGATATCTCGTCCGGAGATTAAACCCTCTTCGGCCTACAGAATCTGAGCCATGAGGTGGGGATCGGAGAGAGACTGCGATCGAATTCCGATGTATTCTGAAGTCACCACGAGGTCCTGGCCCTGGCTCTTCTATTCCAGATGATTGGGCAGCTGATGCACGATGTGTCTGCGATGAAACGCTGTTCTTGAACATATATAGATAGATATATGTAAATAAAAGCCAAAACAAATACTCCTACGAAGTTCTCCAATAGCCCCTTAAGGGAATTCGATATTGTAAGAACCTAGTCTGTTAAATGAATGATCGAACTACGAGCCGAAGCCCACCGGAATCGTCTCGTGTCCCTATCGACGATATACATGGACGGGAGCAGGTCCGTGGTGAAGTTTCTCGGTTCGCAGAGACACGATATCCGCAATCCTAGTACAAGGTGGGGCAGTATATTCTCCCCATTTTGTTTTGCTCATGGAATCCGAACCATGAGGGCTAGCGAAGTTCTGTTTGCGGCAAAATGTTTAGGAGGACTCGCCCTCTCACTCAGAAAAAAAATCCTTTGGTCCGATGTCTCCAAGCTGGAGAACAAGAATCAGCGGGAATGTTAGGAGAATGGGTTTTCCCACAGAAATCAATACCGAGCGGTTGCGCAGTCGGAGAATACGGTCGCACAGCGTCGAGAGGTCGGCTGTGGCGGTTATTGAGAGTGTTGAATAAACTAGAGGTGTCCCAAGATTGTTCAATATTGCCGAGGTCTTCACTTGCCGTATCCCAGAGAGACAGCCCCGATATTTTCAGCGGTGGGATTTGCGGCGAAGATCTAGGGAAGCAGAGCTAACGAAGCTAATGTCGTATCAGGGTTCGGACGGAACCAAACGAGAAGTTGGTGCGATGGATGCGAGAATTATTGGAGAAGTGGTGGCCCAAGTGATGCAAGTGATCAAAAGGGAAGATGCGACTGAAATCAGGTCGGTGGAGTCATACCCGGAGACGGCCGGATCCGTGCCTCTGTTCATTGGGGGCAGTGCGCTAGAGTCTAAGCAATGGCTGACCAAACTTGAGCGAGCGCGACGGATGGGCAAGTGGTCTTTCGATCGGTTCATGGCAGTGATTTCAACGAAAATGAGAAGAGGTGCGGCAACCTGGCTTGGAATCTCGGGGGAATCGTGTGAAACTTTTGATGAATGGCGGAGTGAATTTTTGAAAGCGTTCGTGCCGGCTAGCCAGCTCATGGAGCAATATGTTGCAAGTCGGCAAAGTCGCGGAGAATCCATGATGGAATTCGCAAGACGGGTGGAAGCGTTAGGAATCGAGATAAATACGGACACGGAGGATATGAAGTACGTGATCATCCGAGGGTTGAGCCCAATGAATAGGCGGTTCGGGGAGATGGTGGCTAATTCGTATCATAAGACAATCACGGATCTCATCCATGACCTGGAGAAAGTCGAGGGCGGGCTCGGTAGGAACCTGAAGCGTACGAGTTCTTTTCAATATGAGGGAGGGCGGTATGTGGCACGGCAGATAACGTGTTATCGCTGCGGACACGAGGGGCATCGGGCGATCGATTGTACGCAGGGGCGTACGCAGGGGGGGGG